ACGGTGTCGGGGATCAAAATCCTCTTGACCTCATGATTAGAGGTGAGTTGTGGGGCGAACAATGTCGCGACGCATGAAAATAAACTCTTTTCCATCACAAACCATCCTCACAAGTAATGGGCGACGATAACATTGGAGTAAGATTGCGGCCGAAGACACACTGACATGGTGAGTAGATAATGTTGATGATTAGTAGTAATAATATGTTTTAGAGTTTTTAGTCAGAAAAAGCAAGGTGAATAGATACTTTTTTATATCGTTTGGATACAGTTGCTATGAATTAGCTTCACTTTCATTGATTTGATAAAATCAACGAATAGGTTCACAAGTCGGTAAAGCTTGAGACCATTGAAGAGTACTTGGTGTGCAAATAACTTCTTCAGTTGTTCCAACTAATCGATATCCAGCTCCACACCTTAGTTTACATCTTTGATTTGGGATACCGGGACACAACGAGGGACAATTTAATCCTTCGGGACACTCATTGATGAACAATCCTCCAGTAGGAACAGACCAGTCTGGACATTTGGATTGTATACAACGAGGGATGGGTTGATTCCATTGACCGTTTGGACCACAGGTTAAAGAGCTGGAGCCTTTTGATGGAAAACATTCATTTAAACACAGAATTATTTATTTTTTCTAATCTAAAATAAAGTTTAAGTTTAAAATCAAAGTTCAAGACTTGTAATTTTCGTTGGCTACTTACCCTGAATCTCATACCCTGGAGTACATCTAAATGTACAAATATCATCACAACGCGCATTATTACAGTTACCCTGTGAAGTGATAAAATCAGGTGTGGCCATGTTTGTTATGTCTGGACAATTGATGGGTGAACAGGTACCTACAGAACCGTCCCATTGACCACTAGGTAAACAAGAGATTGATGAAGGACCATTTAGGATGGTGCAATATGGACATGAGATCCGACAAGTTGAACCAGATACTATATTTGAGTCAGATGACTGTGAGCCTTGAGGATTAACACATGATGCGAGTGGTCTGTCTGGTCCAGCAAAAGTCAAAGGAGGACAAGTAACTGGAATACATGAGGGTAAACTTGAACTCCAGGTTCCATCCGTTGTGCAAGTTAACAAAGATTGGCCTACCAAAAGATAGCCGGGGTTACAAGAGATCGAGCAAGTGTTCAAAGGTATGAGCAATTCACCAAAACAAGATCCAATCATCAAAGCGTTAGCCACAGGAGCTAAAGGGTTACAGCGTACAATCTGCTGACATCTTGGAGGTAATTGACTCCATTGACTTGTACTTAAACAAAGTAAACGATCTGGTCCAATTAACTGGTATCCTGGGTTACATGTGAATGAGCAAATTGATCCAGGAATGATAACAGAATTTGTTTCTGTAAAGATAAAAAATTAACCAAATGAGTAATAATGAAACATGGCGCCAATTATGATCACAAGATACAAAACAATGTTACATATCCAAAAAGAAATGAAGTTTTTATCAATGGATTAACTTCAAAAATTATTTTTACTCTAAAGTAACTATTGCCAAGAGATAATATCTGACTAATAATATTTAAAGGTTACACTTTACATTAAAGTGTTAACATTAACACCATCATCTCGAATACATAATAACAACTCTCATGTCTGTTCGTTACTTGAAGCCTAAACCATAGGCAGAATAACTTTCGTGCGAGTGTTTTTTAAATAAATTTAAAATATTTTTTCAAAAGCGATTTTTCATTTTTCATTATGTTTATTAAAACTCAAGACATTTTAATATCTAATCAAATGAAAGTGAAGCAACTCACTATAATAATCGGTCAGTACCAGAATTTATGTTATGTTTACTTCTAAATCTGACCACTGTTGGAATCAATGTGATTCCGATTAATCTGCAACTTGTGAGAGTTACGAACAATTGACACTTTTTTCAGTTATTGAGAGGTTATGTTAAATCAACTCATCAAGATGAATCCATGAAGTTGAAACAAAGTCAATCTAAACGTGTTACACTCAATTCCACTCAATTTTTTCTTAATTTCTCAGTCTAATATCAATTTTAAGCCAAAAATATGTTCACTCACAATCTGAAATTTCCTATCGAAATGGTTACATAATAAATGATTAAATAACATGCAATCAAAAATAATGTATAATGTATATACCAATACTATTAAAAATTTAACCCATGAAAAAGGTCTTCGATCCTTGGTTCATCTCTTATTAAAATTTACTGACGATTATCGTAAAAAGACTTGACCTGTTGACCTTGGAGTTAATCACAAATTACAATCTTAATTTGGAGGGAATCACAATTTAAACTACAAGGATAAATCTCTTGGTAATCTCTGCCAGACTCTATTCATGTTATATCATGTATTGTCAGGGTAGATATCAACAGTAAAAATGGTTGCCAACTTAATTTACACAAAGAACTCTCAGGTTAAGAATCTGGTGAAGACAAAGATGAAAAATTTGATTAGCTGGATAATTTAAATGATATAAGCACAATAATCATAATGAAAATCACAGGGCACTTGTTAATGAAATCAAAGTTAACCGTTTATGGGGCGTGTAAACAGTTGATAAGCCTTTTTTAGCGGGTAATTGTAAAATTGGGGGGAAATTTAAACTTGAAAAATAATCAATAATGGTCAGTGGATTTGATTATGTAAAACTGTTTGGTTAGTAACAATAATAAACCCTTTTTGTTTGTTTGTTCATGAAAAGATTCAGTTTATTTGTCTACCAACATTGGATTCAGTTGATGAATTTCATTCTTCATGGTTTAACCTTGATTTAGCATCATTTTTTATCCTCTCTTCTCCCTCCATCACCACTATTTTCATCCTATCTTATTCCAATCATCCTAATTATCATCATCCTTCATCATCACTATCATCATTATTCTAGCAGTCAGATTAAGATCTAGGCCAGTCAGGTTTAGAGCCATTGGCTCTAGGATTAAGCCGAGAATTAAGGTGATATTTATGAATGAAATGTGAGACAAGATTGGCATTTAAATGATTTCATGATCGTGTCTATGTACTAAATACTGGTTGGATAATCAATAAATCTGGGAAAGTGTAAGGATGTTAAAAGTGAACAATTAAAAGCTGAATCAAAATTAGTGTCTTGATTAGTGATTAGTCTATTAAAGATTTGATTATTCACTTAAATTGCAGGCAAAAGGTGTGAAAATGTGATTCTAATAAAACTGATTTCTAAGATTATAAGTATAAACAGGTTTACCTCAACTTTGAGCTGGGGTTAACAGTAATTCATCAGAGTTAATCTAATACTCCAACAATATTTACTCAATTGTATGAAAGTAATATATTATTAAATAGTAAATTTGTGCTTGTACAAACAATTATTATAATTGGTACACGTTGTCATACTTTTTGGCAGTCACTAACACCATAATAATCAGCAATCTTAATCTTGAAATGCTCATAGCCTTGATTTTAACTTGAACACTTAGCCGTCAATCCGAGAGTCACACTTTTACCACCATGGACAAGGAGTAACTTCATCACTTGAAATTAGCAACTAATTTTTACATGTTTAATAGTGAACAAGGAGAGTACATGTGGAAATAGTTTAATCCTAATTAAATAGAGAAACAAATAAACATTAAATCAATCGATTAGTAAACTAGATTTAAGTCAAATCTATAAGTTTGTAAACCTTTTTTTTGTATAAAAGCTATGCATCTAAATGGATCATCTGTGTTGAATAACAATATGCATGTTAAATTGTGGTTATCAAATATTTATCACGATTAATAGCTAAGAGTTTGGTGTAAAAGGTCCATGAAATATTGAATAAGTTAGGTGAACTTTAATTTCATCACTAATCTCAATAATCTCAACATGTAGTTTCACTCAATGACTATAACAATCTTTTTAGTGCAACCACATCTATTAGGTTTACCAGTAATTTGAGTATTATTACCTTGGATACCGCACATTCCAGTTAATTGACCATTGTCTAGTGCTTGTAAAGCTGGACATCCATTTGGTGAACAAGAGGGTGGTGATGCTGACCATGAACCCAAATTGGTACAATAAATTGACTCAGGCCCAAGTAATGTTGAATCCACGGGACAACCAAAGCGACATATTCCTCCAGCAACATTGAAACAAGGTCCACCCATGGATAACTTTTCGGGTAAGGTTAAAGGTGGACATGTTATGGCACGATTGAGACAAATCAAAGGTAAACCAGTCCAGGAACCGTTTGGCTGGCAAACTCTTGCACAAGAACCCAAAGATTCAAAACTCGGGTTACATCGTATTGAGCATGTTGATCCTGGGTTGGTTAAACATGGTCCAGACAAGCTGCCATACAATGGTGATTCAAGAGCAGGACATGATTGACCCTGGATTCCATCAAATAAGCATGTTAATGAAAAACTAATGGATAACAATTGAAGCAGACAAAGATTCATAGCAAGCTTAATGGTTTCACAAAAAAATTCATTTCAAATTTCACTTTCAAACTCTTTCATTCTTTCGCAAACTCATCTTCATATTAAACTGTTTTTCCTAATAAATTGATTATTGACTTTTCTCAAAAATTCAATTCAATACTGACCCATTGTTAGTGTGATATTTTCATTTTCTAGATCAACACATTTTTTCCAAGAAAAAAAACTACTTTTCATTATTTTATTTTGTTCACAGTCAATCAATCAATCGAATCTGATCGATATATTGTTAAAAATGTTGAAAGGATAAAATTGATGTCAATAAGGTTTGTTAATAAACTAATATTACATCAATAGCAAGTTGCTAATTATAATTAACCCAGGAAATGTAAAGGTACATAAACTTATATTAATATTTTCAATTGGTTTTTTCTGTGCCTTGAAAGGATTCATGTGTTGAATGATACTAATCAACTGAGCTTAGCTTTTTTCACCAACCAGAAATGTCTTGAATATGTTTGTTGATGATAATAATCATTGAAAGAGAACCAAGAATCTTCCTGGATAACCTTCAATTTCACCAGTGTTAAATAAAAACTGTGAAACTATAAGTTTACATGAATGTAAATAATCTTTAAGGTCATTTTCCTTTCCAGATTACCATCATTTAAAACACTCTAATCACTAATAGAGTGTAAATTGAGAAAAAAATGAATTGATCAATTTATTTACATTTTTAACTTCCAAAAACTCAGCTGACAATCTTCAAGCAGCAAGCAGGAGACAAAGGTGCTTTACTCAGACAACATTGATACCATAGATTAACCTTTATCACTAGTTTTGTCACCTTTGCATCCTAATAACATCATGTATTAACCTTTGGTAAAACAAGGAAAGCTGTTGATTATGAAGCTAACATGTGCAGCTGTTAAAACATCCTTTGTATTAATCATTGCAAAATTTGGTTCCAATATTGTCTTTGACCATCAGCATTATTATCAATACAGTCATCATGCTTCTGTTGATAACAATGAAAAGTACAATGTTATATACAATAGAAGCAAGAAATAAAGTGATTCCAATTGAATTTAGCGTTTTTTTGGTGCAACCTTTCATCTTCACCATTTGAAAATAAATGTTTCAATTCGGACCCTCGAATCTATTATGCGTTGTTTTCATTCATTAACCTTTTCAAATGGATATAATTCATAGACCCAAAGGAAGGAAAAGTTATGAGTTTACAGTGAATCGTTACCAATAAGAGTTCGGAATACATTTAGTGATGTTTAGCTAGATGTGAATAAAAAAACTGAACAAAACAAAAACAAAAAAGAGTCATTTTCCAGCACAATTGTGTTGATTATTTCCTTGGCTTCAAGAATTGATTGAAACATTGGTTGTACATGAAGCTTCCAAGAGTTTGAGAATAACAAAACAAATAAGGTTTCATTAAAGAGTGAAAACAGAAATATATTCATTCCAAATGATTAACATTTTATCCAACTATTCGGTGCATTTCTTTTCCGTATTACATCAATGTGTATATAAATAATATTACATCTTGCTTTTTAACCATCTATTATGAGGATGTTGTTTTGTTTACATGCAACTTGTTACACATTTTTGTTTTTTTCCTGAGATCCAAAAATGTTCAAGTCAGCGAAGGTGTCTATTCAATAATGCGAGTAAAGTTCAAGTTTACAGTGTGTTTGGCTGTTGGTGAAAAAACAGAAATGTAAGAATCTGGAAGAGAGAAAAAAAACAAAAATTAATGAGTCAATAAAGTAATGAATTGCTTATGAATTGAATGGAGAGGAATGAAAAATTTAAAGGAAAGATGAAGAGAGGGGAAATACTTTTCATAAAGATTGAAAATTTGGTGGAAAGAAAGTTGAATTTTTGTTCTTAGAGACAAGAAAAAAAAGCATGATGAGGAGGAGGATGATCAAGATGAGGATAAAGTGAGTAATCGTAAAGCTTCGACAATAATGGGAGAGTTTCAGTTGTTTTTACTGTTGTTGTTTATGTCGATAAACAGTAAAGTTAGGCTTTTTGGTAAACTGTTGGCCTTTTTTCCCCTTCGAGATATAATTAATTTGTGCGCACAATTTATCGTCATCTTTATCTTCATCTTTTGCTGCTCTTTCTCTTTCCTGTCTTCACCATGCTCTCTTCCTCTGGCACAGGCTTGCATGTTACTAGATGATGATGAGAAGGATGATGATTTAACCCTTGAAGTGTAACAGTAAAAAAATACAAATATGTGCTCTTGCTTTCCAAGAAATTATTTCCCGTTCAACAGTAGATTATGTTTTCATTTGCAAAATCTTCTCGGTGTAACAACTTCTGCTTTCTAGTTTTTCACTTTTCATCATTTGCATCTAACTTTGTTATCCTCTTTGAGTTTGCTTGAAAATTGTCTTTTTGTTTTTCAATCGTCTTTGTCTTGTTGCACCATTTCCATCATTGTCATCAAAGAGTCACCAAATTAAATCTTTAAATATTCAACAATTTACCCGTAAACCATCCAACATTTTATATCACATTATTGTCCTGTTAATATTGATCAACGCTCAGCCAGTATCATCACCATAATTTTACGCCAATAAACTGATGAACAACAAATGTGATAATATTTTGTGTAACTCTGTTGAATGCCAAATCACATATTACTTTAAGCTACTTTTGCTAGTCTTTGTTTACACCATCAGTGCAAGGCTGAACTTTTCAAACTGATGAAATCTCTTCGTATATTGCTGCTTGGAGCTAAATCCGTTGGTAAATCAGGTAATTGTTTGCTTAATTTTCTTGTCCTTTTCTCTTTTACTTATCACCAATTTTCATTGAAGACGATCGCTTGTGTCTATGATTAATGCTACTTGATAAATTACTTGCTAACTAATTGTTTGATATCCAACAAATCCAAAACTCGGGAAATTAGTGAATAATTGTGTGAAAGATCTGCGCAATGTTTGTGATAATTTGTCCTTGCATGAATGTTTTCATATGATAGTTTCAACTCGTTCAGAAAATTTACATTGAAGCTTTACATGGTTTAGCAGGAATAAACACACAATTGATGGATGATATTGCTAGTTGAACAAGGATACCACGACAGTTAGGCCATCATTGAACATCTCTATTTATATACATTATTGGGAAACATGTATCTGGTTATCTTGCCACAGCTGTTTATTGTTGATACTTGATTATGATTATCCACCAAAATGTCTGAAAGAAAAAAGCAAAACAATGAGTTTAAGTGAGTAATTAGATGAGCAATTAGTGAAATTATCAGTTTATGGATAAATAAATCTCACAATTTTCAATTTCTGTTCAAGTCTCCAGTCTTTTCTATTAGTATTGAATTGTCGCTCCACTTTCGTTCATCGTTATATTTTGAGAACAGTCACCGTTGGCCAATGGTTTGATCAGAATGCAAATCTCATGTTTCCAATTACATTTGAATGGTTGAATTTGATTGCTAACTTTTAAAATGCAAATCCAATCTCCAATCCAGAAACAAAAACGATTGGGAAATAACCATGATACAGATGAAGATAATAATTTCTAAGTCAAGGTTTGAGTGAACACTTTAAGCTTGCCAAAGTCACATGCCTTAATCCATAACACACAACACCGACTGATTTATAGCGCAAGGCAGTAACTAAAAAATAACAGAATTTCATCAGCTTCTAAATGATAATTGTAAAAGTGAAATGAAGTAAGTTAATAGGATAGAGGCGCAAGAAGTTTCCATGTAAAGATTGGCTTCTTTAATTGAATTTGAATAAGACTTACTTTATGTAATTGCAAAAAATTATGAATAATTATCCAAAATTAGTTCAATCAATATGAGACAGCATTTTGAAGAACCATGGAATGATAATTGATAATGTTCAAGTTGGTAATCAAGGAATCTGTTATTACCAGGCAAGCAACCAGTGTTTATCAATCAGCTTATTACGACCATATGTTTTCAAAAGCTAAAAGTTAATTCAACCTGCTAAGGAAATTATTGAATGAAAATGGTTATTATTATGATTGAAGAAGGGATAAAGTGATTGATTTAATTAATATTGATAATCAAAATGTTAGTATTAATAATATAATTGTAGTGTTACCCGATAATTCCAGTGCTTACCAAGCAAGCCAAAATAAATGGTGCCGTTGCTAAAGATGATAACTAAGATGTTAAGCTATAAGAAAAATTAAGCAAAGTATACACAAACATGAATATGGTGATTATTATAATCCTGTAAATCATGAGATTATGTTAACGAACACATTTAGCTTTATAAACATTGTGATTAATTGAGGATAATAATCAGAATGGCTTAAATATAAATTTGATTCGCCCTAGACTTTTCCAGATCTATTAAGATGTAAGCTTTGCGGTTAGCATTGAAAAAGAGACAAAGTTGAGAGCTGGTAAAGAGAGAAGCTTATTTTAAAACAAAGACATTTTGTTTTCCATCTGATGATGTCTCTTTTACATTCAAAGCTTGCTTTATTTGGCCTTGTTTATAATTAAATGACAACTGTTGACTAATTAAATTGATGATAATAGCGTCGAGTTTACATTTTGAAAAATTTTGATGTTATTCTATTGTCAGTGCTTCATGTTTTGTAAAAATTTTGATAGCCTCTGCTCAAGCCTTTTGTGAAATGTGGATCTATCATGGATTGGCAGCAAAATTTTTCACTGTTGAAATATCTTCAGTCCATCTTTTATTCCCATCAATTACTGTCCTCTGAATTGGTGATAACTTTTATTTATTATTGAATTGTGCTATTCATATCTAATATGCTTCCTTCATTCAATTAAATAGCCATTGCTGTCCGTTTCCTAACCAAACGTTACATTGGCGAGTACCAAACAGATTGTGGTAAGTTGAATTTTTTTCAATCATTTATTTTCTTATTCAACTTTCATGAACTCATCATTTGTCTTTTATTTTTGTATCAGATATTTTGTATAAGCAGACCATAAATTGTGATGACGCCCTAACAAATATTGAAATTCTTGACTTTTCGCGACACAGTCAGGTGAATTCATTTTTTACTATTTTATTTATAATCTGCTATCCAGTTTTTAATGGAATGTTTTCAATGCATTTGACTTCATACTAAATGGTTTATTTATTGTTTTATATTTTTAGGAACAAGATGTTCTTACAAATTATGATGACCTCAAGGACCAAATCATTTGGGCTCAAGCGTACATGATTGTTTACAGTATTTGTGATGAGCCAAGTTTCGTTAAAGCTCAACAGTATGTCAAGCTAATTTGTAAATTGAGAGGCTTAACCAGTCTACAGGCACCTATGGTCCTACTAGGTAATAAACGTGATCTTGAAGTGGGTCGGAAAGTAAATTTAGAGGAAGGTAGAAATATTGCTTACAAATTTGGGACACAATTCTACGAGGTAAGAATCTAATTGTAAAGTATCAAAATCACGAGTCTCTTTTACTACAGTTGTTGAATCAGAAGACATTTGTGACAATTTGATTAAACAACTCCGTTTATGAAACTCGTGGATATTTCATCTCTTGACATATCATCGTTTCTCATTGGTATCTGCGTGAAAACATTTATCATTAATATTCCGTTATTTTCTTCTCAAAGATATCTGCTGCTGAAAACTTTGTTGGTGTAACTTTAGCCTTCCATGGTTTGATCAGAGAAGCGCGATCGTTGTTTGAAAGATTCAGTGGGACCACAATGACATACCAGCCTGGTCAGGCCATTAAAAAGTTGAGCTTAAACTCAGTTACTCGAGCCTTTGGTGCGGTTTTTGGTGGTAAAAATAGTCCAGGATCTTCTCAGTATTACACTATCATTCGAGATGGGCGAGTTAGTTTGTCCAATGAAGGATCAACCGAAGATAAACATCGAAGATCAAACAGTATATCACAATCAAATGGCAATCCGGGTCTGATGAACAGCTGTAAGCAAAAGAAAGAGATTATTCTGGAAACAGCACACAAACGAAGCCCTCCTATTGCATCTTTATAGCCTCATGGAAACAATCAATTGATTAAATTTTAACAATAAACCATTCTCTCCATCATCGTCATCTTCATCACCAATTTCATCGATACAACTCAACATTGAATACTTATACTTTTTCAGTTCAACTTGGCTGTTATTATACCAGATTGTGCTACAAATAATGTATCTGTAAATAAATGGAAAGGTTATAATCATTGTCGAAAAACGAAATTCAACTTTTCCATGCAAAACTTATTGTTTGATCTAAATATAAAATCCTTTTGTTACTCTTGTTTATTTAAGATTTCATGACACTATTTTCAATTGATAATGTTAACCATTTCATAACGATTTAAATGTATTAAAGATTCATTAAATGATATTCATTTACAGCCATAATAAGGTTTAATCAAATTGCTATCAATTTTATAACATTGATTTTAATCAATTTCAACTTTTAACAAGTTAAAATTGCATTATAAAATAGTTGAATAAGAGAGACAAAATTAAATAACAACCATTTTTATTCTATAATAAATGATTCAGAAATTGATTAAATTAGATCCAAATTTTGGAGAAAATTGATTCTCCAATATCAAAATAAATACATAAATGTCAACAAATGAGTCTTTTTACAGAAATACATATCTAGGAATGTCTAATAGTTAAAGCTTTATGATTGAATAATGTTTTGATTTTTTAGTATTATTCTCGTTTATCATAATGTATAATGACTATTAAAAGCCAAAATAATAGTAATATTTATAATCATAATTTTAATTCAATCACCAAACCGATATTCCAATGCAATTTAATCACTTTCATAGTGAAATCCCCATTAAATCACCAAACGTTACATTTTCTTTCCGGATTCATAGGAGATCCTTTTGGACAGTTGAAAGTTTCCGAGAAATGCTCCATGTTTGACAGTGGACCATTAACTCTGTCGAAAAAAATGATCAAATCGATATTAAATTATTGTTAAGAAACTCAAGGAAAAGTTAAATATAAATGCACATATAAAACAAAGTTTTCACCTGAATTTTGCGGGACTGTGAACTCCAGTGGCAATTCTTAATTTCATTGATTGTGGCCTTAATTTAGAGCACCAAATCTATCAAAATTGTAAAAGGAAATTATTGTAAACTGATTATCAACGATATAACTTGATGTCTAAGCTTACATTGGCAGCTCCTATCCAAAATAGTTGTTGCTGGTTCATTGAAACTCCTGGAAGTAAAGGCTCAGGACCATTGTCTTCGATGTATTTAAGATAACCCTTGAAAATGAAGATAAAACAAATTTAAAATTATAAAAGTTGAGGTTGAAAAATATTGAAATAAGATTAAAATCAATATTGATTCTTGGAGTCGATAATTTACCAAATAAGCTTGTTTAAGTCCACCATTATCAGCAATATTTTCACCTTGAGTATTGATACCATTGACCTTCTCTTTAACTTCATCAACTGTATAATTACCATATTGTTCAATTATACAGCGAACTCGAGAGGCAAAGTTTTTCTCAGTTTCAGGTTCCCACCAATTACGATTATTTCCATTTTTATCAAATTGTCGACCTGAGTATATTGAAAAATGACATTCAATTAGCATGTACATAAGGTGGATGTTGAAGTATTTATAAACATGAAAAAAACAAAAATCAAAGTAAAATCAATCAAATCTATTAAAAGGTAAATATTGTAAAAATCAAAGGAAAGCTTTTGTTTTTCAATGTTAAATAAGACTGAAAAATTCATAAGTGCTAAGTCAAGTATGAACATAACACCAAATGAGTGGCAAATTTTCCACATCACTTCGATAGCAACGGAAGATTTTAAGTGCAGAGCAACAATTTAACCAGCCAACCAAGACTCGAATGTCTTAACCACAACTCAGCTCAACCAAAAAGCACAACTCTGTTTTGATTTCTGTGTAATGGAACTTATTCTCATGATCATTCGTTCTAAGGCTTTCAAATAATTAAAAATTACCTCGATCATCGAAACCATGTGTTATCTCATGTCCAATGATATATCCAATACCGCCGTAATTCAGATAATTTGGCCTTTCTCTATCATAAAATACTCCTTGAAGGATTCCAGCTGGAAATTTAATGCTGTTTTCAATGAAATTGTTGAATGCGTTCACAGTCGCTGCCTCAGAAAAACGTTTCCAACTGTAAAAAACAAAGATATATCGATTATTGGTTGTCACATTAAAAACACTGTTATCTTAATCATTCACTTACTCGTCTTTGATTAAAGGCTCTCTCAATTTCTGCAGCCCATAATCAGTCCAAAATTTACGAAGCTTCTGAACATTGTGATAGTATTTAGTATCATCTGAAATATTTATCTATTACCAAAATGAAAGAAATTAGAGTAAAATTAAAATCGAATCGAATTAAGAATTGAATTAGTGTAAATGTTAGTAATTACGTACACCTTCATAGATTGACATGACTTTAGATTCATCCAATAGTTCTGGTGGATAACCAATTTGAACAAACATTTCTTCTGCCTTTTCAATAGCCTTTGCGCGAGTTGCTTCATCCATCCAATCAATTTTTTTAAGAGATGCAATAAATTGGCCTCTAATATAATCAACCATTGATGCTGCTTGTTTCCTACTTTTTTCATCAAAATTACGGGAAACATATAAAGCAGACAAAGGTGTTCCAAAACTTGAATAAAGTCTTTTCATACAAGTGTCCCAGCGAGGCTTTTCGGTTTTTCGACCTGAGATTACTCGTGAATATGCTTCCGATATTTTACGCAAAGGTTCTTCAGCAGATGGTAAAGCAGAGAAAACAGCTCTCCATATCATGTAATTGGCAAGGATTCTGTTGGATGAATTAAAAATGATACAAATCAGTACAAAATGTAATCTAATAACGTTAAAATAACCAATCTTTAAATACCTTTTATCAGTATTAGCAATGAGAGTATCAACAGATCGTAAAAATCGAGGAACTTTCACATTAATTTCTTCATTATCTGAAACATTAACAACCATCATACTCCGAACAATGTTGGGCCAATCTATCTGTAAAGTTTAATGGAAAAAGAGATTTAAAAATATAAATTACTATCACTCTGTTTACTCATTAAACGATGATAACAATCAATAATAACCAATAAAACCTTGTTAATTTAAGGATCTTATTCAATTATAATTGTCATTGATTGTTTAGATTGGGGAATTAAAAATAAAACTGAATGCTGAAAATATTTTGGGTTGATTATCGTGATTATAACAATCGAAATATTAGTAAATAGATAATTTCTCACATTTGGACCAATTCTTTTAAGATCAATAAGTTGAATTTTATGATACATTTTGGTGAAATTACGTCGTTCCTCACTGGGTAAAGAATACTGAAAAACAAGAAGAGTTGATTACCATTTAGCAATTAATAAACAATATCAAATACGCATAATTTGTCAGTCTAAGCATTGCTTGTCAGATTTATATTCAACCAACCTTGGCTAATTGTGTTTCAAAATCGATTATTTCACTGGCACCTTTTTCGATTGCTTCCTTGGAGTTTTGTCCAATGTAAGAAGCCGAATCAACGATTGCCTTGTAATATGCTTTAACAGTAGAATCATTCATTCCTTTGAGAAGATATTTACGATCAGGAACTCCAAGGTAGGCTTGATCAATCTATAAAGGAAATAGGAAAAAAGGTAAGAAAACAATTTATAATTTTCAATGATCATTCATTGACTCAATTCAACTTAATAAAATTGCTTGGTTTCCTTTTATCTAACAAAAGTGTATTGCTTACAATGAAAAAAAGAGACAAAAAGTCAATGTTTCAATGAGATATTGAGCTTAGTGTGAAGCTTGATAGGTAAATGAGAATAGTCCTGATTAAGGAATGGGTGATCAACTATTCCTTTTAATTAACTAGCCTGATATTGGTCATACCATGGGAAAACATGTAATTTATCAATATATTGACAGATAGTGAAGGAGTAGTTATAAGTAAAGTAAGTTGAACAATCAATTGGTGGTCGATTGTTAAAACTGTTTGAACTGCTATTCAACGAGTTCGTTGAATCGTAACGTCCTTTAAACAACATTAAGGACCCATAATGATGACAGTTTCACAATTGTAACCCATCAAACTTAACCCTCCAAATCTTGCTTTTACGCCTCTTCATCTTCCTTTTCATCTTGATAATCATAGTCATCATCTCCATCAGGTTACTTTTTTTTCATTTCAAATTGAGTGTAAATAAAATACCACAGCAATTGACAATTCAAGATTGCTTTCAGGCTGATAAACAGGTTAAATAATCCAATGAGCAATCAAAAGAAAATTTTCTCCTTATTGTTTCCACTGTAGCTACATTCCCATCAAGTTAATCAATCTAATAAATCTATTGTTTAAAGGATTGGTTGACCATTAAATTTTGAGACTTCATCTCTATTAATAGGCAGTGAATGAGTGTTCAACTAGGCTTGTAATACGTCCAAACAATTTGTATCAGTAGGAGGTTAAATTACCTCAATTATGTGTCGACTATTATTTTTAACATCAGGTGAAACATAAATCGAGAGGAAAATGTTATGGTCATATCCTTTAGCTCTCATCTTTTTTAGTGCTTCAATCCAATCAAATTCAGCTTCCCTCCATGTAGGTCCTTCAATTAATGGCCAGCCACCAAGATCAACAATATCCTTAATCACTTCACCCTTTGATTGTTCATTGATTTCACCTGGAAAATTAACAAAATCAAAAACAAATTAAAGTATTTTTCATTGATTAATAAATCTATTACCAACAAGCAGAGACACTCATAAACTAATCAACATTTGACTATTTTCTGGTTCGTGATTTATGTGTATAAAAATTAGAGTAAATTAAGCGTATTTTGTTTTACATTAAACATCCACGAAAAGACAATTGTATCAAATCAAGGCTTAATTAGATCAATTGTTGAAAATTGAAAGTGAAAAACGAAATTTGATAAAGCAGAAAAATGAAACATTTTAACGGTAAAATTGATAAGTTTCAATGAATTTTGTGTGTGAGTGTGAAGTCTCAATAGAGTTGCTAATTGGCACTTCAAAAGGGAAAATTAGTCGAGTCAATCAAGGCTAATCATGAATTGCAATGATATTAAATCTGTTAATAATTTCCAACAATTGAGTGACTTGGACGAAATTATTTACATTTCAAGAAATTGATTAAATTTGAAACTAACAATGAGTTGAGCTAAATTTCTGAAGAGTCAAATTAAGCACAAATTTATTGATCATTAATAAGGTTCTTCGGTGAATCACGAATCAACACACAATGTTCCTAAAATTTTCAGGTCATGATCGAGCATAACTTGAGTCCAAACACAATAACACTTTAACACTAAATCAGCTTTCCTTTCAATTTACTAAACGATATTGTTTCACTTTACACTCTTTAGTACATCAGAAGATCCAAATCTAAGCCTAAACTGGAAGAAAATTAAGAAAATTAAAGTTAATTGTCACCATTTCCATATTACTTACTCAGATTCATGCATTGTTTGTAAACAGTCCTCATCATCTTGAAATAGATTGCTTCGTTTGAATTGTCTCCATCGTTTTCGACCAATTCTGTTGATTAAAGAAATTAAAACATGATTAAAATATATTCATCAAAAGGTTCAATTCAATATTTCAACAAATCTAATTGCATTCATTTATTAATATATTTTACAATTGAACTTCATTATCCATTGTGGTTAAGAGCTTTGACTAAAATCAATTTGTTAACAAATTGTAAAGTTGATCAATTATAATTTTTTATCGGTCTGAGCTGTGAATCAATTTGAATAACCAATCTTTTCACTGACCTTAAGGTAACAAAGTGTCCAAGTTCAAGAGCAACTATTAAGTGACCATTATGGTTAACAATTACTGGACAGTAAAGATTTGATGTCCAACAAATGTTAACAAGTTAACAATAATTTAGTGACCACAATTGAAAATTGAATTAAATGAATAATTTGAAGTCAAATTTTAAATTTTCATCTTCATTTTTCATTAGCTTTGAGATAAATTTGTTTAAATTTTCATTAATTTTCATTAACATAAATCATGTTGACCTTAAAAATGAACTTAACAAATCACATCGCTTATTAATATTGATGATTGTCAGTTTAACCAACTAAAAGGATTGATTTAATGTAATATTAAATCAAACTCAGGTCTAAATAATGAAACAGGAAAATTAATAGATTAATTGTTGTTTGAAGGATGACTCGAGTAATTAATTTTAACCTGTAACAAGGAAAATAGTTGTTAATCAATTGAAATAAACAGTTAAAAGGTTAATAGTAAACATGATTGAAAACATTGAATCTAATTGCAACTTGCATGAGATTGATGACAAAACAACCAACAAAGGTAAATTGATTAAGGTGATGAAAATTAAATTGTGATTAACTGTCATCTAAACTGTCATCTAAAACATAAATAAATTGTCCATCAAAAATGGACAGTAAAATGAGTTGAATTCAGTTCTTTGAAGTGAAAAGGAATCAAGTTATTTGTCATTTGTTGCCTGGTTTATGAACTATTGATTGCTTTTCAATTTGGTTTAAACTTAAATTGAATCAAACGGTAATCAGAGTAAATCAAAGCTACCGGAAAAATTAACTACAGTTCGTTGGTCTTCATCTTTGGACCTTGAATTGTACAGTCAACTGGATTAACTGTTAAATTGTTATTAATATCATGTTAAATTAATAGATTCTGACGAGTCTGGTTTAGATGTGAAACAGTTTACATTATGGTTATTGAATCACTGGCATGTTAATCAATTGTAGTGTTTGATTCCAAGGTAAAGTCAATTGTGTCAAAGGTCACCAAAGCAGTTGATTGATTGCTACTCAATCGGACTGACAGTTTAAATCAATAAGTTAAAATCACATTAGTTGATTCAATACTTGAAATGGTTAAAAATTTTGAAAATCAAAATTTAAATAATTTCAAATATCAGATGTTGAGATCAAAGCATTTGCTGGTACAACTTGATACACTTAATTGTTATCGTATATGTAAATTGTTGAGAAAGTGAAAGTAAATTGCGGCAAGTAGTTAGCTCAATATTAGCTAATTGTTTGCTTATTGTTAGCTTAGTGTCAGCTATTAAAATTGGCTTTGATCAGTTTGATTATGATTGAAAATTTTATGTATTAACCTTGACTTTTCCAAGTGATAATGAAATGTAAGTTAAGGTGCTTTTTTTGCTATTCAGTGACTTTAATTACTACATTATGATTAAATTAATAATAATATAACAAAGGCAAGGTTAATAAGCATCATAAGATAATTTGTCTCATGATGTTATTGACTTGACAATGAGTCGGAATATTTGGTGTCTATTGATTCTGGTTTCAACCCTACAGGCTTTGGCTTTTCTTGCTCATTTGATGTTGGTTGGCAAATTGTCAATTAACAGCTTTGTTTGATTTTTAATTTGATCTGCAGATGACATTAGATAATTAAAAAAGTATGACTTGGGATTCAATTGAGTAATATATCTGTGATATTGTTTACTGTCAGCAATAATTCTCATGATTTTATAGTCATAAATGTATAGATTACGAGTCTAAAATGAAATAATTGCATTTTAAAGTCATGCTTTTTTACCTCGAGCAATATCTACATGGTAAATTCACTCTTAATTTTATTGAGTCAAGATTTTCATTTCTCAATATTGAGAAAGACTGAGTTTATTCCAGGGTTTATGAGATTTGTCATGAAAAATTGTGAAATGATCAAAATATTATTTTATGGAAGCCTTTACCAGAAAAGGCTACCAGAATAGATTACTCTTATATAAAGCAATTCTTGTATCAATAACAAGATTAAGATACAGTTTTAAAATTAGCTTACATTAAACTCAAAGCTGATTATAATGAATAAATTATTTCAATTAGTTGGTCATTCGGCTGCTAATCGATGGTTATGTTAATCTATTAACCAACAGTAGTCATAAAAAAGTAAATAACTTTTACTTTGAACTAAATTAAAGAAATGAAGAAGCCAACAGTAAAAGTGAATTGTTGATTTCGTCTATTTTTTGAGCTCTTTTGGCTAATTAATCAATCAGTTGATCTTGAACTGGTTTCCTTAAATTGTCTGTTTAAACAGCGCCAACAATGTGTTGGTACATTAATACACTCACTCTTTCCCTCTTGACTCAGTGAATTGGGTCATTCCAAGAGTGCACTGAAGTATCCGAGAAAGTCAAGGTGAAAATGATTCAAAATAACAATAAACTTAGAAAGCAATTTGATTGCAAATGGACACAATTAGTTTATCTATTGGAATATAATCAATAGATGAAATGACTTTCACTGCAATTAGAGCCCGTGGGAGATTGGTCATCACGAAAAAAGTGTTATGCACAATATCCACTTAATATTGAAGCATTTTAAAAGACAATTATTGGACCATCATTGAGTTTGTAGTGAAAGCAATTTATGAAAGAAATCATGCAAATGAATAGAAATCTAAGAACGCGAACAACTGGCTTACCTCGCAATTTTCTGTTGAGGTCATCTCGTATAGCACCAAACTGAGTAATTCCTGTCTGGTCTTCACTGATGAATTTCTTTTTAATCCAACCTCCACATGCAAAATCGTAAAAATCATCACAAGGAGATACACTTGTATCAAGATTATCCAAAATACGAGCGGCTTCAAGATATGAACATGAAATACACAAGCAATTCACAAATAGGTAGATTTAGTCCAAACATGGAAGATAAACAGAAATTTAAAATTAACAAAATATAATAAAGATGGAGGTAAAATAAAATTACATATTTGATACCTTACCTGCTTTAACACAGCCTGGAGTTAAACAATACTGTTCATTGGATGAGCTTGATAAATACTTTAAATCGTCGGCATCCTTGGCATCCTTGGCAACTATGAAGATTGTTAATGTAATTATCCCGGATAAGATGAAAATGGTTAAACCGATAAATAGTGAAATTAACCGTCTTTCGAGTCGGGTTCGTCGATGCCACCAGTTTGGTTTGCTGTTACACAAGTAGAGATGAGATTAGATAAGAGAAATGACTCAAGGTTTATCTAATGGCGACCAAACAAGTAAAAACGGTTACCATATTTTTGAAAAGAGATTAGCCTAGCGGATTAATTTTAGTGGTAAACAAAAGACAAAGAAAATCTAATGCCATCTCTTATGTTTTAATGTCTTTACAATTAAGTAAAGAGTTGTTGGACAATCAACTTAACCCTAAGTATCTTATGTTTTTCACTCTGTTGTTGTCACATTTGGCTCTTAGTCTTAGCAAGTTTGATTTTCTTACTGTTATAAATGGTTTAATGGTTCAAACATCCGTTTACAATTCACAGTGTACCAGATTCAAAACAACAAGGGATTAACTTACTGAACCAAATCAGATTGGGTGACTGTTTCACGGTTAGTTGATGGCTGATCCATGGCTCACAGTGAGTTATAACAAATGTTCTGATAATGGTGAATACATTGAAAGCAAACTAAATCCTTCTGGCAAGGTATTTTCACAGTGTAAACAAGGTAACATTTTTTAACAACTTGTAAACTGATCTGATTTTAAATTTCAGTTGAATCCTCCAATATTTAATTGAACTGATGAAAAAGCACTGATTTGAAAAATAATTTTTAACTGTCTAATCTAAATCATTTCCTCATCGTTAACAGTGAACCACAGTGATGTTTGATATATTGGTTATTTTACTCTGGTTTGGTTTTTGCTTCTTCATTTTTCAACCTACTCATGGCAACTCGACACAATCAATGTGATGATATTGGACTTGTTTCTTGTCTTGTTTGATTATCCAGGATCAGCACAATTAATTGACCTACACAAAGTTTCAGAAGATCCAATTTCTTGCTCTGGCTACTCATCAAAGTTTCAAGACTAACTCATCAATCAATTAGCTTGTAAGGTATAAAAAGACGCCCATCGTATTTGGATTTTGGTCAAAATTAATTCAACTTACGTTATTATCGAGTTAGAGAGATCATTCATCTTGTATACATTGTAACCATTAGTGGCATTTTCGTTGGTATTTTTCATTTTGATCAAAATTTAAAACACACAATTAACCATGGACACACTGGATAATTTGGTAGAAAGTAAACAAAATTAAACAAAGTGATGTTAACACAGTAAACTTGCAGCAATTGATGGAGTTGTTCACAGTAGAGTAAATTGTGTACGTTTGTTGGTTATTTTCAAAGTAAATTTGCAAAGGAATGTGATGGAAAATATCGATTAATCAACAACACAGGACAGAAAGGAACGGATTAAAATTGGTTGAATCAGATGAAAACATTAATTTGGCGATTCTATAATTTGCACAAGAGAAACCTTTGGAGGTGAAACCTGAGTAGAGTTGGTGCAATGTCGAAGTTTTTTCATCACTTCTAAATCATTGGAAATCTTTCTTTTGTATCATTATGCATGAAAAGACCGAGAAGTAGACAAAAAAGTAAACACTTTCACAATTACACTTGGAGTCAAAGACAAAAGGTTTTAAATCCAACCAAAAAATTGACCAATTGATAACAAAAAAGCACCAGTTGGAATCAGTTAACGGAGGAAAAGTGGCAACAAAAACAATTGGTTTCAAAAATTGTGTGAGCAATGATCAAGTAACTGCAACACCAGCACAAACAAACATTCACATTTCACAATTTAAATGGCTCAATGAATAAATTTCGTAAGGAAAGGGCGTCACTGATAGCCTGCTGGGAGGGATTTTTGGCAAATTACTTGAAATATTATGATCAATCATATGCTATTGTCGTGTGCTGCAGCAAAAAAAATGTATCTGTATTCATTGGCGCTCAGAGAAACACTAATACAGTAGTTGAAGAAAAGATAAGTTGAGTTGATAAAGAAATGGAAACTGAATTACCAATTCAAATTGAATGGACCAAGAAGGAGGTGACGCAAAAAAGAAAGTGAAAAGAGGATGATTGGAAAAGAAAACTTGAATCATTGAGTTTGAAGCACATTGAATGAACAACCATTACTGAAATTGATACCAGTGTTTTCATGGAATCAACAAGAGACTTGGAAATTTATTAAACAATATTCATGATGGAAATTGCTGGTCCAGCCTATGTTTTTAAGCATAGTAAATCTAGGGCTATTACTGAGGTGATCGATGGACAAGAAAACAAAATGATGATAATCTTTTCCTGGTTGACTTGAGGCTGTTTACATGATGAGCTTGATTGAAATTTTGATGACAATTAGGTCCAGGCTTACCGTACTTGCTACAGCTCTGCTGTTTTGTTGGTGTTGCTCTCGGAATACAGAAAGGGTCTAAAGATGAATCTTTTTGCTGGTGGCAGTAAATTTTAAGGATTTCACGATCGTAATCAAAACCAAACATGAAATGAACGCTTTTTTCATGCTGTTCATCTATTCACTTTCTATTGAAAGGTGACAAGTGAAAATAGCGATTCACCAACTTGCGCTTTGTTTGCCGTTTTAGTCTTAAAATGGTGATAGTTGGTTATCTTTACACTCAAAGTTGTCCATTAATATTTGAACAATTTTACAATTTAACTCGCTCCTTTTTTTAATGATAAAATAAGTAAACCTTTTCATTCAAAATTTGATACTTGGTTGGATCTACTACAAGTTTTGCTGCCTTATTGTTAAACGTATGTGTGGTGGACCGTTTGTATGTAATGATAAAAGTGTGTAAAGATTGTGATTTAGGCAAAAGTAAGAGTATTGTGTGCACACTATTTTACACTGTACAGTTGAACACCTCGAACTCGCGTTACTGTAACGGGTTTTCAATGTCATTCAACAAGTAATCATATAACCTGAGGCCATTTATGTATTATACTTTTCATGTTTGCTTCTTTTTTGCTTGTTTGTTTCAATTAATGTTGATAACTGATTCCTCCTTGAAAGATTACTCGATGTTAATAAACTCTTTCTTTCACTCAGTTTTGGTCCGTCATTGATACTTTTGCACCGATCATTAACTTTACCTGTAAAAACAAGCTTTTCCTTGCATTTTTACATCCTTTAATTGTTGAACTTGATCTCTTTGTGATCATCTTTTGTAAAGGTTATTATCATGCCAGTAATAGATGGTCAAAATTGTGACGAGGAAGTGTTTATGATAATCAGATGTTGTCATTTGTTTCCTTCAGCTTTTGTTTTGGTGTAATTTAAGTCCAGATTTTGTGTTTTTTTTAATTGCGCATCTAATTGTTTATTTGAAGAAACTGATTATGAATACATTGTATTATCGTTGTTTTTGTTGTTTCTGGTAATGATGATGATTATGATTAACTGAAAGTGAGCTCAGATTACAACTGATACTGTTAATGGCTTAAAGGAAGCAACTCTAATTGTCATTTGACAATTTTTAATGGACTGTAACATACAAAACTGCCTTTTCATATTCAACACTTTCGCCGTTTATTGTTGTATTGATGGTAATGGTGATTTTTTATTAATTGGTCGATAAAATTTCCAGCATGAAGTGTTGTTTATTGTCGTTATAAGACCATTTGAAGATCAAATCTGATTTCACTTTTTGACAATTAGTCCTGGTTGTTTACGTTTTGCAATATAATTTGGTAAAATTGCTGTTACACAATAAATCTTCTTTTTTACCCAATAATTGTGATTTATATATAACTGATGATCAATATTTCTATGGTAAATATGATTTGGTTAAAAAAAATTATCGATCTATAACCAACCAGATATTGAAATTGCTGTGTTTGAGTGAAACAGAGGGAATTTTCGGGAACCACGGCCTTCCTTGATAAATAACCAATGCTAAATGTGTCCAACTAATGTCTCATCTTAACACAAAGTATAATTCATGCACAGTTATTCAATCAAATTAAGTCGACTATTTTTAATAAACTGAGTTTTGTAGTCGCAAATGGTAGACATAGATGGTGCTAAGCTTGTTACGATTACGAATCAATGTTTTGAGCGCCATCTATTGATTTACATGCTATGAAATGAACTTCATTGATTAGGAATAAAACAGGCTTTTAAGTTTTTTATTTTATCAGTTTTATTCAACACAATAAAGCTTCATCTTCCATTCAAGCAGCACTTGGATCATTCAGTTTCAATTTCCAGAATTCTCACGATATGCAGTTCATTTCTCTCACCTTTGCACAATCGTCAATAAAATCTGAGTAAGATTGAAATTCAAGACTCCAATGAGTTTATTGATAAATTGTGATAAAATACATTAAAATTCAGCTAAAGATTGCTTGTTTATTATTTCAACACCGTAAAAGTAAACGAATGCGCGTATATGTCATTCTGTATCCAAGAAATAGTCTCAATCATCATTATTCGGACCAATAATATCAAGATCTTGACCATCAAGCTTTGAATTCATATCAATTTTTATATCTAACACAGCGCTAGTAGCCGAAGGAGTCTCTGGCGCTGTCACAGAGAAAAGAGAAGCAATCAAAATGCTAAAAAACTGTGAAAAGGATAATTTCGAGCACAATCAATTTTTTCACAATATAATTTATTTTATTGTTTCCTCAGTTGTATCGGTTTCCTTTTATTCTTATTGTTTTTTTATCGAGGGTGGCAGCTCTTCGAGGCAGCCTGTATACTGACGGGTATTTACCTAATAATTGTCTATGAAACGCTATATTTAAGTATGTGTAAGTTAGAAAATGCAAAGATAAACTTATCATGATATGAGAACGAAAAAAAACAATTGATGCTTGCACACTTTTCGGAATTTAGGAATCGTATGATCAAACACAGTTTTTCTCGAGCTTTTGCTGTTTAAAGAGCACTGACTGCAAATGAAAGGAAAGGATTGATCAGCAAACTTGTGAGCAAACATAAACACTTGACTGCTCCATGATAAGGGATTTTGTTTGTTTCAAATGAAGTTCAGTGATTAGCAGATAAGTAAATAAATTGCATAGGATGACTTTTTCCAAAATTCAAGGTAAAACATTTTTCAAAGAGTAAGGCATTTTTAAGGCATAAAAATTACCAGCATACTTTGGACTTTAGGTGATTACAAAAAATCGCAATCAAAGTTTTAATAGAAAAAAGTTCATGAACATAATAAGAATTTCAAGAACGTATAATATAAGTATATAAAGAGAAACGTAGTAAGTGCCCGTTTTTAGGCTAACGGAAGTTATTGGCACTTTCATGGCGAACCCAAGCATATCTCTATGCATAATGCTGAAGTTTTTTGATGAAAACAAAATTTAAAATTATTTTACGGAAATTTCAAACATGAACATTAGATGAAAAAAACTCATGTTTATGATCAGTAATTACCATGATTGCAACCTTAGACTCGGTGATTGACTGAAATGTTCATGTTTGAAATTTAAGATTAACACTTCATGCCGACCCTTGCAAATCCATTAAAAAGTGTCATTCTAGTTTTAATTTTACTATCAATGCAGGTCAATAAATTTCAAGCTTTATTTTCCCAATGAAAGTTAATTTAAGTCCAAAAGTATGAAGATAATTACTGAACAAAAAATGGTTATCTTGCAGATGATAATCACTCAAGAAGCATAAATCGGCAAATAATCGATAAACTGTTTGAAAAAACAAATTTATTTGAGCACCACTTGATTAAAATTCAAGGTTAACTTCGTGGCGACAACGTCTACCTATGAATTTAATCATAATACTTTTCTCATTAAACCAACCTTATTGACTTCAATTGTTCATGCTGGCAGAAAAATATGACTCCATTAAAATGTGTTCATTTAAATTCAGTTACAAGATTCATTCTAATAACAATATTGGTTTCCATATTCAGTCAATCATTTGATTGTAAACCAACAAATGTAAGTAATAACATTATCATAACAATTAATCACATCAAAGATGACTATAACTTTGTCATGGCATTTCATTGCTACTTGAATTTTGTTCAACCATTAGTCTGTGACAATTCTGACCTCGGAACAAGGGAACATCAGTCAGCCAATTGACAATGGCACCAGACCTCAAATTCATTATAATTACACAACTGAATGTACTTCGGGTACGTGTATTACGACCCCAGTAATAGCTAATGATAAACCTTCAATAAACAACGATACCAACAGTCAAGATCGTGAGCGCGCAGTTCATCCACCTGACGGTATGTTAGACAAATTTCAACATATTAACCCTTAAATATTAACTGTTGATTCGTTTTTAATTCATTTCAAATAATTTTGGTAACAATAAAAATGATGATGATCGAAAAAATGGATTTTCCTACAGAAGCATTGTATACAAAGAATGGCAATCCGATCGCTTCTAATTCATCAATAGTTGAGAGTATAAAAGCCGAAGTGAGAGGTTCACTTTCATCACCAACAACCAATAGCACGCTTATACATCCTGATACATCCAATCCATCAGATCAGAAAAATCAAACCGTCTCTGCATCATCATTGGGTATCAGTGAAAGCGAAACAGTCAATGAAAATAACAATTTTACACTAAGTTACTTTGTAGTATTAGGACCTGATTAAATTCTGACATAATCTAACAGCCCTGATATATCCAGTCCATCAGATTAGCAAAATCAAACCATCTCTGTATCATAATTGAGTAACAGTAAAAACGAAACATTCAATGAAAATAACAATTTTACAATAAATCCAACCCAACAACATCTGCATCTACAACAATGGAACCTCTAATAACTCCAGAACCGAACCGAAATTTGACACAGTTACACCCAAATGAAGTAGAGACGAGACAAGAAAACTCAACAATTCAGCCTGAAATTAGCACCACAACAAATTTTGAAGAAGATCCGTCAAATGATCCAAACCCTGATTTATAAGATCAGAAAGTCAAACCACCGATGCTGTATCTTCGTCATCATTGAGGACCAACTAAACTGAACTAAACCATACAAAATCTTGTAAGCATTATTTTCAAAAGTTATAGTTACCAAAGAAAGTAAACAATTTGCCAATTGTGAACAATTCTGATTGACTCTAACAATTGTCTTATTGTTTTGTTTTTGCAACTTTTATTAAAAATTAAACAAATCATTAATATTCTGATAAAATGTAACAATGTAAATCTTTCAACCCTTTGCTATGGAGGCTTAACTTTTCAAACTGGGATTCAATTTGGTCTTTGTTCAAATTGCCTTCAATCATTATGAATCCACTGTAATAATTCATTTGTTTTCATTTTGTTACTCATAAGCCTAACAAATTGTGATTTAAAATGAAAAACAATTGAAAACAAGGTCAAGTATGATCTAAATTGATGAAGATAGAAACAGATTTAATTGTAAAAGTAAGACCGTAAATTTTTTCCCCATTACTATTGATTAAACAATCAAAAATCGAATCATTAGTTGTTTTTATATTTGTTGATAGGGTTGAATGAGCAAACAGCTATGTAAACTGTTTTGGTAGCAACTTGTACCCGGTTTTTGTGCAGTTTATTCCAATCAGTTAAATCACTCCATTCTCATCGATTAAAGAGAAAAGGTTTAAATTAATTTATTTTGAAGATTGTGATCTAAATGAACAATCAAATTAAAAAAATGAAAGAAACAGTTTTATTCCAAGTTGCTTCACGGTATCCCCTGGTTTGAAATTAATAACAGTTAAATTAGCAAGTAGGGTTAACACCTTTCTTGAGAGTTTAAATGTTTATTTGGAATATTGACATTTTTAAATCATGACTCAAATTTATTTTATTCAAGTGAAAAGAGTCAATAACAAACAAACCACAGTTGAAGCAACAGCAATCAATCAATATTAGTCAACAATGGTTTCCAATATTCAGTTCATTACCATTTTCATGGTAAGCCTATTTTTCCAGCCTTCACTACAATATTGTCCAACACTTTATCCACCGCCTTATGGATACTTCATTCGTCCCTGTGGTAATTCATTAGGAGATAATTGCAACATTGATTGTGAGATAGGTTTCGATATTGTTGGACCATCTTACAGAGTTTGTAGGCCCAATGGAACCTGGTCTGGAACAGATACAATTTGTGTTCGTCCATCAATTGAATGTCCAATGTTGCGGATAACCTCGTCTGGTTTAACAGTTCAAGGCTGTCAAAATTTCGCCGGCGGTATTTGTTCATTCCAATGTTCGTCTGGACTAATCTTACAAGGGGAGAGTAAAATCTACTGTAGAACTGACGGAACTTGGTCAGGTGGAATACCGATGTGTCAACGAAGTTCATGTCCACCTCCACCACCAGCACCAATGTATGGATCATATGCCAATGGAATCAACTCATGTCCACAAGTGATTGGTTCCCTTTGTACATATCAGTGTAATCCAGGTTATGCTCTCACTGGATCATCTCAAATTCAGTGTACACCAGATGGTCAATGGTCAGGTTCAGCGCCTACATGTACACCTAGTGTACCCTCTGCTCGTCTTGCCTCGTGTCCTCCTCTTTATCCACCGGCTAATGGGTCCATTTCTGGCAGTTGTGGTCCATCAGTCAGTGTTGATGATACTTGTCGATTTGCTTGTCAATCTAGTTTCCTTCTTAGTGGATCATCACTGTTAACTTGCCAATCCAATGGACAATGGTCATCACCTCCTCCTCGTTGTATTGACTCATTTTGTCCACCTGTAAATCCTTCTTTATCTACTTCAAATATTTATGCCACTGGACAATGTAATCCTGGTTTACCTGGTCACATGTGTAATTTTGCTTGTCCAAGAGGATCTCAGTTACTTGGATCACCTCAATTATTGTGCCAATCTGATGGTACTTGGAATACTGCTGTCCCTTCGTGTCGAAAGCCTAATTGTTTTAATCTTTCTGCTCCTCTTAATGGGCAATTAGCTGGCTCCTGTAGTCCTGGCGTTTTTGGTCAGTCTTGTGATTTCTTTTGTAATCCTGGTTATTCACTAGTTGGTTCTGGTAAATTAACGTGTGAAGCAAATGGACAATGGTCCTCAACGCCTCCAACTTGTGTAATTAATGGATGCTCTGATCTTCAGGTACCTCTTGGTGGTATATTTAGATCAACAGCAACATCGGGTAATTGTCCTGGGTGTCCAAACACTTGTTCAGGTCAACCTGGAGCCATTTGTACTCTTTTATGTGGCCGTGGATTCAGATTGTCATCAAAAAATGGTGGATCAACAACAATGTGTAATCCAGCAACATTGAGATGGGAACCAGAGCCAGCAACTTGCATCCGTGAACGATATGTGCCATCATCGTCATCCGCTTTAATATCATTAACATCAACATCATCAAAAACATCTTTAACAAAAGCCTCTCCATCAAAAGTATCATCTTAATTATTGCTTTTACAATTTTCATCTTTTTTACGACAATTAATTATTTAATTACTTAATGTTAATAAATCGTTTAATTTTTTATTGATTCATTTGATAAATCGACAAAAATTATTCTAACAACCAGCGCCAATTATTATTTGCTATGAGAACCTTTATATTTCTGATGCGTTTGGACGAAAGGATTATTTACAAGGAGATGTTTTTTTCATAAAGAACTACCTGAAATGATTGTTTAAAAACAGAAAGTGAAACTTTAAGTACATCTTCGAAACTTTTATCACCGGTTGGATTAGAAGAGGTGGTTTATTTGATTTCCAGGCTTACGCGTGAAAGATTATCTTTTGGTTCGTGGAGGCCACGACTACATATGAGAAACTCTAGATTTTGGCAAAGTATGAAATAGTAGTTGCATCAATCCTATTTATTGTTTAGATTTAATCTCCTTCATTAGATTTAAAGCACTTCCAGCACGGAACCATGCGATTTGACCATCGTTCAAAGTGTGGTTCAAATGAATTTCTTCCTTCTTTCCATCTTTATGGGTAATGTGACATTTGACAGGCTGTATGCAAATAAAATGTAAAAAATTGATGAATAAAGTAATAAGAAGTATAAATTAAATAGCAAAAATAAATTACCTTTCCAGGTGCGAGATTCTTCAAATCAAGAAGAGAAATTCTGTCATCGGGTTGAATTTTGTCGTAATCGCTTGGGTTGGCAAATGTTAGAGGCAATAATCCTTGCTTTTTGAGATTGGTTTCTGAAGAAGTACATGTGCAAATGATAATTAAATAATTGAATTCAAGATGGTATTTCTAAATACACTTACCATGAATTCGAGCGAAGCTTTTAACAATAATAGCTCTAGCACCAAGATGTCGGGGTTCTAAGGCGGCATGTTCCCTGCTACTTCCTTCACCATAGTTTTCTTCTCCAATAGCTACCCAACTAACGCCTTTTGCTTTATATTGTCTTGCAACTTCAGGAACAGCACCCCAACTTCCAGTCAATTTATTTTGAACTTTATTTGCTTCACCGTTCTCAGAATTGATGGCACTGTAGAAATAAAGAATTTTGAATTTTCGAGATACATGTTTTAGAAATAAATCGAGCCTTTAAATGAAATAAACAAACAAAATATAAAGGTGAACTTACGCAATGAATAAATTATTAGAGATGTTATCAAGATGTCCACGATATTTTAGCCAAGGTCCAGCAGCACTAATATGATCAGTGGTACATTTACCCTTAATTTTGATTAAAATAGGCATTTCAACCATATCTTTACCGTCCCATCTATCGAATGGAGTAAGAAGTTGAAGTCGGTCACTTTTTGGATCAACATCAACTCGGATGCTTGATCCATCACTTGGTGGTGCTGAGTAGGTATTTTCTCCTGGATCAAATCCACGAGCTGGAAGTTCTTCACCAGTAGGCTCGGCGAGTTTAAATTCTTTACCAGATCCATCTTTGATAGAGTCAGTCAATGGATTGAAATCTAGACGACCAGCAATTGCTAAAGCAGTTGTTAATTCTGGAGAAGCAACAAAAGAATGGGTGGCTGGGTTAGCATCATTACGACCAGTAAAGTTTCGATTATATGATGAAACAATAGTGTTCTTTTCGCCCTTTTTAGTGTCCTGTCGATCCCATTGACCAATACAAGGACCACAAGCATTAGCAAGAACAACAGCGCCAAAATCTCTAAAGATTTTGGCTTGACCGTCTCTCTCAATGGTTGCTCTGATTTGTTCAGATCCAGGAGTGACTGTGAACATAGATTTTGTTTTGAGTCCACGATCTAAAGCTTGCTTTGCAATGCTTGCAGATCGAGACAAATCTTCGTAACTGCTGTTAGTGCAACTACCAATAAGTCCGACTCTAATGTCCATTGGCCAACCATTCTTTGCAGCAACCTCTCCAAGCTTGGAAATAGGAGTAGCAAGATCAGGAGTGTAAGGTCCATTAACATGTGGTTCAAGTTCGCTAAGATTAATCTCGATAACTTGGTCATATTCAGCGCCTTTATCAGCTGTTAAGAAGTCTTTATGTTTCTCAACTTCGTCAGCAATATCTTTACGCTCAGTAGCAACTAAATAATCTCTCATCCGTCTATTATAAGGGAATACTGAAGTTGTAGCACCGATTTCGGCTCCCATATTACAAATGGTACCCATACCAGTACATGAGATAGCATCGACACCAGGTCCAAAGTATTCGACAATTGCACCAGTTCCACCTTTAACAGTGAGAATTCCAGCAAGTTTGAGGATGACATCTTTAGGAGAAGTCCAACCACTTGGTTTACCGGTGAGATGAACTCCAATGACTTTGGGACATTTAAGCTCCCATGGGATGTCTGCCATAACATCAACAGCATCGGCACCACCAACACCGATACATAAACCTCCAAGACCACCTCCATTGACAGTATGACTGTCAGTACCAATCAACAGGACACCTGGGAAAGCATAATTTTCCAGGACAATCTACATAAAAGGATTTTTTTAGAAAACAGCAGTTTCACAAGAATATTGAACCCAGTTCACTAACCTGATGAATGATACCAGATCCTGGCATCCAAAAGCCAACACCATATTTTGCGCTAGCAGTGCTCAAGAAATTGTAAACTTCTTTATTCATTTCTTTAGCTCTCTGCAAGTCTTTGACACCGTCTATTTGAGCTTGAATAAGATGATCACAATGAATGGTAGATGGGACAGATACTTTGGGTAATCCACTGGAAATGAACTGTAACATAGCCATTTGAGCCGTTGCATCTTGCATAGCAACCCGATCAGGACGAAGTTTAAGATATGAATTTCCTCGTTCAATATCTTGTTCAGCTGGATTATCAAGATGCCCATAGAGAATCTTTTCAGACAAGGTCAAAGGTCGATTCAGCCTATTATTCACTATCTTAAGGTTATCCTTGTATTTACCGAAAGGAATATGATCCTTGTCCAATCGACTCATAGCCACCTGAAAGCAAATAATTAAGTGCGATTGAGTTAAATTAGATTGTTAGTCCCAACAATTGTTAATAGCTTAAACACTTAATAAGATAGCTTACCATGCATTGTGGACTAGAATGTAACTTGGCCAATTGAGTTTTAACCGAAAGATAATCAAGACCCTGTGGATAAAAATAGAAAGAAAAAAATCAGACACCAAATCATGAATCATGTTTTAAACAATTAAGAGTGAATTATGTAGACTATTGTTTTGCTGTAAAAGAGATCAATTAAGAAAGTCTGTAGCCTAAAAAAATAATTGCTAACAAATTGGAAAATTCATCGTTTGAATAAATAACCTTGATTGTTTTTGTAAATGTGAACTTTTGGTAAACAAGGTTAACGATGATAAAATATAAGATAGCAAATGAATAGGACAAAAATTGTACCGATTAACGAATTCCGCAAACAAACGTACCTTTGAAGAGACAAGACGTTTAAGAAGAACCATGGTTGGAAGATAATTCAATTAACTTAATGAATTTAAATAAGTATTAAAATAAAATTCAACTTGAGCAGACAAAAATTAAAACACTGTAATTTTGTGAAGAAGATTCATCGAATGAAATGTGTAAACATGTGATCGAGAGTTGCTCCTCCTACTTCCCAAGGACAATCAGATTTGGTGCAAAAATTGATCAATCATTTTGCACCATTAGAGCTATAATTTGATGAAATGGCAAGAATTTGAAATTAAAAGTGCATTTAGATGACAAATTTAATAAAGCCTCGTATAATTAGACAAAGATGGTGCTAATCTTCAAAAATCTTGAATTTTAATATGAAGATTTCAATAAATACAACGAATGACAATTTTTTTTAAAAACAGAAATATTTAGAGAATATAAATTTTGACTTTGGGGTGATGAGTTTTTTACGCTGTAATAGTAAATTTAAATTGAAAATATGGCAAAGTACAAAATAACGTTGATTTATAGATTGAGGAAGCTTTGTTCAGCATCAAGTCCGTCCAAGTCTGTTTTGTTTGCATCCGAAGGATTGCTGATTAGTTCAACATTGTCACTATCACCATGATGCTCATTTTTATCATAGATAATAAAGTTGTTGGATGTTCCTGGAGCCATTAGCATTTTAACCATTGAAACATAAAGCTCAGCATCGAATGACTCGAACAACGATTCAGGTAGCTGATCTAATCTGTCAGCTTCCATGGCACCTTTTCCTTTGACTTTGCCTTCAACTTCACACCATGTTTCTAATTCTAAGATACCAGAGATCTGTGGAAATAAGAAAGATAAATAAATAAGAATGGACATAGAATTGTTACATGAAATAAATTAATTACCGGTTGCTTCAAGAAGACAATGACATTTTGGCCGGCACAGTCTTTAAGACAAAATTTCTTGCCAGATGGATCAACCTGAAATTATAAAGGAATGAATAGTTAGATAAAATACCTGATATTTAATATTTAACAAGAAAATAAAAGATAAAATGGTTGAAAAGAAATTGAAAGAAGCAACTTACACTAGCAACTCGGCCCAAAAGTATCACGCTTTTACCAAATTGACTTTGCATGATATCAGAAACAATTCTTGGGCGGTATTCAGGATTCATTCTTGATAATTATCAGTTGATTGTTGGTTACAAAGCACAAAGTAAAAAAATAAATGTTAAATTCAACCAAAGAAAATCAAAACTTAAATTGTAAAATCTAACAATGGATTGTTCAATGTTAGCTAAATATTTGGCGCTTTTCGGTTGAGGTTATATGTACACAAAGATACTATCCGATATCTGTATCTGATACCACCATAATAACTAACAATTGTAAATTTTTCGTTTACTGAATAGAAATGCCTTAATCTGAAGTTGGTTTAAGAATTTTTGAGCATTTTAATGATGATGATGAATTGAAAAAAGGATTTAAATAATAATTTAATAATGCATTGAACTGATCTCAAATCAGTCTAACAGATATCTGTTTCAAATGCTGCGGTAAAAAAATTGCACTCGTCTAAGTTTCTAGAAACAAAAAATTTATCAAAACTAGAATCGAACCCTGATCATAACCTTTGATTCACTACACTCTAACCACTGAGCTACAAATTAATTTTAATTTAAGGTAAAATTTATTAACGCTATTCTTCAAGCAGGCATCGGTAAATGAAGTCAATGCGTTAAACTCGTTACTCTGGCGTTAGGTTACTTTAATGTATGCATTCTTTGAGTGTGATTTAATAGAAATTGTTCAAAAATTAAATTTTAATCCATTATTAAACTATTATTTGAATCCTTTTCATTCAACATCATTATGTGTACGGTTAACTTCATAGTTAAAGATACACAGATTTGTGTACATATAACCTGTTCCGCGCTTTTCACAGCAAAAACAGAAAAGAGTACAAAAAGAATCATGAAGATGGCGTTCAACATTTATGCTTTTTAAGCTTTTTAAGCTTTTTAAATTAAATTAAATTACGATCAGCTATATTTGCGAGTGTTTAGCTACGATCTAACAAAATCAAATGATCTGTGCATCAATTGGTTCCATCATTTAGTTCAATTTTCCATTTATTCCGTGATTAAAATCTAGTTTTAAAAATGATAAGCACTTACATCATATGGAGCTTTAACTTGATAGCTATTCTCCTTTTATAATATTATAACTTCTGAATAAAATTGAATACAATGTAACTTAAACTGATGATACAAATAATAATTAAGGAATTAAATGATGAGTTGAGATAATTCTAGATTAACCAAAAAATATCAAATAAATACGACACACAAGGTCCTCTAATTGTCATTAAGTCTTGAATTTTTATTCAATTACCTTAGCTCAAATTGTAATTATCTAACCTATTAATTTTAAGTTTAGATTTTCAAGCTTCTTCTCTAACTCTAACAAATGTAAATCAAATGTATAATCATAACTATTAATTGGAATAGCTTTTTCTTTAATTTGCCTTTCTTATATTGTAATGTATTCTTAATTTCATCTGTTCAATGAAAATATGTTACTGATGTATCTGGACAGATTTAAACTCATTTTCAATCTTTTTAAAATTATTCATCAAAATTCTTACAAAAAATGTTGATTTCAAATATGAATGAAAGATTGGAAACAAAACCATTGAAAACACATTTGAATTTATTCATTCCTCTTTACAAGAAATTGCTTCGATCTTGAATCAGCAATGTAATTGTAAAGCTTGATAAAGCTCACTATTAAGAAGCTCAAATTTCATTTCCTAGATGAAGATTTGATTAAATGCTTATGAAAAGCGCAAATATGCTTTCCAGTTAAATTAAGCGCCATTTCTTTACGTATTTTGTCTCCACCTACTCTGCAGAAACTTTTTATTCTGCCTGTACATTATTGTATTGATCAATTTTGAACATCAGGAAAACATTTTTGCTCATTTGGATACTATTTTTTGAATTGAATTTGTGATATTTGTTTTTAATTTGTGACTATTTGGTATTTATTTAACAATTGTTTATTTAATAATTTATTTAAAATGTCAGAGTCTCCAAGAGACAAAATTTTGCGTTTGCGAGGTTTACCCTGGCAAGCTACGCGAGAAGATGTTGTTTCGTTCTTTTCAGGTAAATTGTTGCTTAATTAACTGATGAATTGATTTGAAAGTGATCTGTTTTATGATCTATTTCAATATCTATTCAAGTAAATGTCATCATCTTTCGTTTCTTCTGTTGCTAAACATTATATTCTTGCTATGTTTTTTTACCACTTTACATAGAAATAGCTTCTCTGTTTTGGGTTACTTTGCTCTTTTTTGCTTTTTATATTTACATGTTTATTATTACACTTGCTTATAATCTTTTTACATGTCTTTCAAATTTAGATTGCCGAATAAAGAAAGGAGTAAATGGAGTTTATATGACATTATCAGCTTTGGGTAGACCTTCAGGCGAAGCCTATGTTGAAATGGAAAGTGAAGAAGATGTATCAAAAGGTCTAGAGAAACACAAGAAAAATATGGGTTCTAGATATATCGAGGTTTTCACTTCAACTCGAAAAGAAATGGACTGGAGTTTAAGAAAAAACGGACCAACTAAGACTGATATTGACCCAGCATTAGATGGTTATGTTCGGCTTCGAGGTTTACCTTTTGATTGCACAAAAGCGGACATTCACGAATTTTTTAGAGGTATGTAAAGAGTTTTAGATGCATTAAAAATCCAAAACAAAATGTGCGTTAAAGAAAGATTTTCGAGAGATCCTGTCAATAATTCCAATTCCACTCCAATAGATTGTCATCTAATCTTAAACATTAACTGTCAATATCAAAACTTTTATCTTTTTTCGTGCTTTTACTAATACTTGTCAATTTTAGCACAATCTTTGATCTTTCTTTTTCGCTCATTTTGTTATCATTCCTGCAATTACATGGATGTACGTGTATGTTAGCATAACTTTGATAAACATGAAAACAAATTTATCATTGGCGTATCATGGCTTTAAAATATGGTTTAGAATCAACGCTATCTTATCTCAGCTATCATTAACTAGAATGTTTTACGACCATTCATATGACAAGTGCTATGTTATTCAAAATGTTCGCTTGAGTCAATTAGTATTCATGTTATTCACATCTTTGTAAGTGTAAATAAAAGTGAAACATCTGCTAACCTCCTATCCTTATATCTGTTTTAAAAGGGTTATCAATAGCGCGAGATGGAGTTGTGTTGCCGGTTGACCATCAGGGAAGATCATCTGGAGAAGCCTATGTACAGTTCACTTCTCGGGAAACTGCGGATAAAGCTATGGGGAAGCACAAAGAAAAGATCGGGCACAGGTTGGAACATTCACCCCTGACCTCTCTATCCTTACCTAAATCCCATGCTATTACAAAAAAGGATCAATTTAGTCTTTATGTAACCCAAAGGGTGGCAATTTATTATAGTTAGCTATTTCAGGGAATTACGTAAATTAGTGCCACTCTATGAAAATATTTCTCAAATCAGTATAATCCACGTCTCATGAATGAATGTTATTAAGTTTTAGCTAATATTTGCTAACTTTTGGCTCCAGCTATTATCTCATTACTATGCGCAACTATTTTAAATGTTTGCTAGTTACACATATTTATTTTTCAAGAGCAAATTAGCCATGATCTAATAATTGATTGCATCCTTTTAGCATTTGTATGATTCTAAATTGAAATTTAACTCCTGATTGTATTGACTAAAAACTTAACCTGTTAAACTTCCTTTCACCTTCCTTGGAAACACATGTCTTAAAAGTTTATTATATGTTGCTAACCCATTTTTGTGGATTTTAAAATTGTTCAAACTCAATTTAAATTACCTTCTGTTTGCATTTCCTTAGATACATAGAAATTTTCAAAAGTTCACCGCATGAATTTCTAGCGATTCGTAATCAACAGCAAGGATTCATGGTGGATTCACGACCTTCACATAGTGGAAGAAGCGGTGGTGGGTATGGTTCCTCTGATAATTATGGATCTCATGATCCTCCTCATCCACCATCAAAAAGGAATTATTATCTGTCGAGTAACCGCTCTGCTCCTTATGATCGAAACTATAATAATCGTTATCAATCAGGAGGCTACTGGGGAAGCGGTTCATCAAGACCACCTCTCTCTGAGCTGGGATTCAGAAGGCCATATAGCGCTGCCATGGATGATTCTGACAGAGGTTGGTTCTCTTGTTTGTTCCGCTTCGTCCAACAACCCTTAAGTCAACATCCATTCTCATGTTCAATTTACAAATCTATATTTTCTCATCTCATCCCTTTTCTGATTTAGGTTCAAATAAAAGATTTGCACGTCGTGATTCCGAGCCGGACAGCTCTTATTGGGATAAATATGAGCCATCACGTCACATGGTTCACATGAGAGGATTACCGTACAAAGCAACTGAAGAAGATATTGAGAAGTTTTTCCTACCTTATGTGCCAATTTTCATCAAAATATTATTCGATGATCTCGGTAGACCTTCAGGAGAAGCTGATGTGGAATTTTCTACTCACGAAGAAGCCTCGGGTGCCATGAGTAAAGATAAATCAAATATGGGTAAATCATTATATTTATTACTCATTCAAGTTCAACTAATAAATCATCAAAATTAATTATTGTTTTTTATCTTCTCTACAGAATTAAGGTACATCGAGCTATTCTTACGATCTCGACCTTCCTCCAGCTCTGATCAAAGCTATCAATCCAATCAAGGTGATTCATCAGATCATTCATTTACATTCGCTCAACGCTACTCAAATTCAACTCATCGCCCTGCTCCAGCACATTCATACACACCAAATAACTACTCTGGCTTCGGTTCAGGCTCTGGATCTGGTTATCATTCAGGTCACAGTGGAAATTATCGAATGGGATCTTCTAATCAAATGTCCATGAGAGAATTTCTATCTGAACGAACCAAATGATATAATTTTGAAATGAATCATTTGAAAGCAAATTTACTGAATATAAATTGTAATACAAATGCCTTGCTGCTGTTTTAGGTGACCAAAAATTTTCAAAAAGACAAAAGTTAAACACAATTTACCCAAATTAACCGCGACAACCAACCAAAAACAATTTCACCGATATTCACCTCGAATGATTTTTTCAGCTTCTTTTCCCAATCATCAGTGGATGAGCCAAACATGTAAACATTTGCACCAAGTTAATTGAAATGAATCAAAGGAGATCATCTTAAGGCTGATTCATTTAAACTTGGAAAATTTCTCTCTTTCAATCATATCTTCACAATTCACCTACTTTTTCTTCCATGACTATAAAATTTTCAATTTCTATTATTTAATTCAATTCCGATCTTGTCAATTCTCCTTTTTTCTGTTTTCTTACATTTTGATTCTCATAGGCTCTCAATGAGTCAGGAATATCAAAATATTTTCTGTTTCATGTAATGGTTCCTGACCAATGGTAATAACAATGATACAAAACATGAATAATATTGAGGATATTTATGTGCCATTATGGTGTTTAATCAAAAAGATGATACAAACAATTAGATTAAATCAATCATTTTTACGTCTTTTACTACATTATTTATTCATTTTCCTACCTTTTAAACATTAATGTCTATTCTGGTTGATTGTCAATCTAACCATGGCAAGTTCAAGGTAGAATCAACCATTAACTTCAGAGTATTCAATACTTCTAACCTCCCAACAATAATTGTAAAAATGACCCGTTAATGGTTAAATAAATTGTTTGCCGAAAGTATCTAATTTTTTGTCAAACAAAGAGATTTACAATTACCTTCCATAAAAAACGATGAAAGACGTTTTGTTGAAATGAGGTTCAAAACACAATGAAAGTCTCTCATTGTAAAACATGTCAACATTGAATGATGTCATTTGTATTTAGTAATGAATTTACATTCAATTAAAACCGATGATTGAGCAAAAGCCGAGTTCAGTGAATAAATTAAAATTAAATACGAATTTCAAGGAATTAAAATTGTTAATTTAACATTTAACTTTTACTTGACTCGACTCAACATTACAAAATTTCAAATACAAATTGAAGATTGAATAGCAATCAGAAAAAAACAAATATCTTTTGAGAATCAATTTACGATTCAGAATACAATTGTCGCCTTCTATTATTGAATTGGATCACAATGAAATCTAATCAACCTACACCTAATAAACAATCAATCAGGAAAAGGTAATAATAATAGAATCAAAAGGTTTGCTGTCTACAGGTGAATCCATGAAAGACAGACTTTGGATTGGGTTAATTAAATAAAGTTCCAAAACGTCTGAATAGCTGTCACAATTAAATGTCACTTTTGTTTTCAAATTAATCCTTATTTGAATAACTTTGTTCCTAAAATAAAAACAAACACGAATCAATGAAATCACCATTATAAATAAGTCTTCAATGACAGTTTATCCAGTAAATTGTATTATTGAAATGACATCAATAAACTTGATCAATAAAAATATCTTTTATTATTTGTTTTGCTTCGAATGGATAATTGTTTGCAATAAGATCATTAAGTAAACAAACGATGATTTAAATTGAATATTTCAATATCCAGGGGATCATTTTTGATTGATGAAATCAGTCAATAAGCTAGATTTACGTTGAAATCAGAGGTCCAATGTTTACCGTAAACAGCATTAAAATTGATATATTTTCCAAGATGAACTGAAAGGAAACAAATTTGGATTTAAGTCAACAACAATTGTATTTGAATCAGATCTTACGAATATGGAAAAGGTTTTCTCAAGAGTAAAAAAGTCGCCTATTTTGACACCGTTGTATGGTCCAGCAACTCGATCCATGATCTCCAAAACCTGGAAGGCAAAGTCAAACTCATCTGTAGCATAAATCTTTCAATAGCATTCGTATCCTAATAAACTAGTTTTATTGAATAAATAAATTATACTTTACCTTGCTCATTGTATTTACTGAAAATTTATTCATAATCGTTAGTTGATGAAGCCTAAATGTTAATCTGTCAAGCTAATATTAGAAACTCGAAGTTAGCTTTGATACAAACAATTGATTTGAGTGCATTGAATACCTCTGTGATGTAATTTCCGAAAACAAAACCAAAGAATCCAATAGTCGGAAGAATAAAGATACCAATGATTGCGAGTAAATTGGCCAGAAAATTACTGTAAACTCGAACAATAATCCCAAGGAAAATGTAAACATCACCTGCTGTAGCATAGACAAAAACATAGCTAAGCATTACATATCGTAACTTGGATGCCATCAACTCAAAGCTATTGAGACGACGGGTAATTAACAGACAAAATTGTTGAATATCTTTTTCGGTGTATAAAATGTCCTTAGTTTTGTTTAATATCAAGTCAGCCGAATCGAGTAAATCAAACAATCGAAACAGATGAAAGACTAGAGTACACAAAATATACCAGCCAAATCCTATGATTGAGTTCAAAAGGAAAGTAGCAGGAAAGACAAGGGTAAATGACCAGAGAGTACCGAAAAAAAGCCAATCTTGGAATCTTGTATGTCCAAGGATTGGCCAGTAATGGTGTAAAAAACCAAATTGTCACAAAAATAGGAACCACTTTCATCACATAGCAGAAAATAAGAGAGAAGAAATATATGGTCAATCGAAGTCGTTTAATGTTACGATTATTCATACGCAAGTTAAACAGGTTGAAGCCATCGCGGTAACCCTTCCATATGGATAGTACTTCGAATCGACCTTTGGCTTCAAGGCATAATATCCATTCTCGCCAAGTAAACATTATTGCAATGGCCATTGAAGTCCATGTAACAATGCTTGTCGATCTTTACTTCGAAATAGAGGATCTCCAAGATAAATGGCGATAATGTCGTTGGTATTGAAAACGAGTCCAGCAATTCTGAACACATTAACCAGTGAAGTGATTGCTATGAGCCAGTCCAAAAATTTAAGGCGACGATATCCAAATGCGTTTACAGTTTGAATATTTGTTTGATTCAAACCTTTACGGACAACTTGAAAGACAATCGTCAATCTTTCTGTTCGTCTAATCAAATCGCGAACTTTTGAATCGGAAATTGTAATTAAATAAGAAAAAATTTGCTGTAAATTTTTCAGAAAATAGTCTTGATGTCTTCTGTCAGTACTTTTAGTAACCATTGTTATTTGCTTTTAACTAAATGAAAATGAAACTTATGCAACAGTTATTGAAAAATCTCCCAATATTGCTAAGAAACGATCATTATTCAGTCTTTATGATTTGAAATCAAGACAGAAATTGAAAAATATTAAAAGCAAAGGTAAACCTTCTTGTTAAAATGAGGATTCATGTTTCATCTATGCTGGAGATTCAGAATGAGAAACGTTCTTTCCATTGTAATAAAGGAATGAATTGCTTATTTAACGATTTAAACTTGAAAAAGTTTCAAAGATGCGAGTTAATCGAGGAAAGTCAAATTGAGCTTTAACGTCTTTTTAAGGGAATGTTAGAAATTCAAAATTTCTACTGAGCTTTCAGTTCTTGCCATAAGAATCTTTATATTTCAGATCAGTAATATACGTTTGTTTTTAAATTGGCCTACCCGCTATCTAAGTCCCAAAACTACGTTAGTAGTACCAAATAAAAGATAAACATCAATGTACGCAAAATGGTCAGAGTAAAAGATTCAATGCTTTTTATTTTTTATTTTGTTTTAGATGATTGTTTTAAAATAATATCTTAAAGAGACACAATTAATTGTTATCGAACAATCAAATAAATCAGAATTGATCAGAAAAACTCTAGAATTATAAGTGTACTTATTTTAAAATCGATTGTGATACTTTAGCCGAAAAAGCAACAAAACTAAGCCCGTAAAAGTTAATTTCTTATGCTTTCTCGGATCTTTACGGAATTGGCTTCTACCTTATAAGCTATGTTTTGTTTACAATAAAAATCGAAAATCGCCCATTACTACACAGCGGCCATTAAACACAGAAATCAGAGAAAGATGAGCGTTCAAATAAGAGGTCTAACGTTGACCGTAAACAGCATTAAAGTTGATATATTTTCCAAGATGAACTGGAATGAAACAATTTTTATTTTAATCCACATCAATCATTATTAAAAAACGTCTTACCAATATGAAGAAGGTTTTATCGACAGTGATAAAGTCTCCCACTTTGACACCGTTGTATGGTCCAGCAACTCGATCCATGATCTCAAAAGTCTGGAGCAAAGACAAAGACAAACCATTCTCTATAATACATCTTTTTGTAATACCGGTATTTCCAACCCCATAAAATACCGAAATTGTTAAAAATTCAATAAATAAATTTTACTTTACCTTGCTCATTGTATTCACTGAAAACTTACGCATAATCGTTATTTGATGCAGTCTAATCGTTAAACTGTCAAGCTAATGAAATATATTGATAAATGCAAACAAAAATCGATACTGGATAAAATTTCGGTAGGATTGGTTACCTTTGTTATTAAATTTCCCAATATTAAACCGGAGATTCCGATAGCCGAAAGGCCGGAAATTCCCATAATTGCAAGCATATTTGCTAGAAAATTATTGTAAATGCTCACTATAACTCCAAGGAAAATATATACATCAGCTAATAATGAGTAGACAAAAACCTTATACAACAAAAGGTATCGTAACTTGCGAGAAGCCAACTCGAAGCTGTTGAGACGACGGATTATTAATAAACAAAATGATTGAACATCCTTTTCTGTGTAATTGATGGCATAAGTCTTGTTTAATAAAGAGTCAGCTCTATCAAGTAAATCGAGCTGAAAGGTTTGTGAGCAACGAAGAGGCCTAACTTAGAAGACTGCACAACTTGCTTTCATATCAAGTTTGAAATTCGTATCATGGATAACCATCCACACGTTGAGTCTTCCCAAATTCTTGTTACAATTTACACTACTGAAGATCTCATAAGAGATGATGAAGATAGCTAGAGCTATGATTCAAAACTATTCGGGGCTTTACCCTTGTATCGCGAAGATTTAAGGTTTTGAATGATTAGATTCACAAAGTATAACAATAAGAACTCATAAGAGTTGGAACTTGAGTAAGTTAATTGAAATGAAAAGGATTGAAATACTTGAGAATAGAGTTTATCTGTAACTTACTTTAATGAAATTTAAGATTCAAAAATAGCTTCAGAGAGCTTAAACAATTTAGAGTTTTAAGTAAATTAAGAGGTTGAATTGAACTGTTTTGTGGTCAGTTGACAATTAAAGAAGATATCTTAAGATATTCATATTTATCAAGAAGGAGAACAAAGAAAATGAAATTGGTGGGAAAATTAAGAAAGATATTAAAATTGTCTGTCGATGTTTGTCTAATTTAGGTTCTTGTGCAAAATTAACAATTAACACTAAAAAGGCTATGACGCCACTTTTTAGGTATCTTTGTTACCCTTGACAGTATTGTCTTGAGACAATATCTTGCCCTGATTGGTAACTGTAGCCTTTGCTAAGGCAAAAGGATTAGCAGTCACAAGTTGAGATAAGCTATGAAAAAGAAAGGGAAAAAGGGTTCTCTTTCTTTTGTGCACTAATTTTGAGCTTGAAATTTAACTCTTGTTTTGACCAGGTTTTAACCATATTGTGGTCAGATTTTCAGGGATTAACAGCTTTTGAGAGCTTCACCTGAAATACATATGATTATCTATTAGACAAACAAAGAAGTCAAGAACTTAGAAATATATGAATGAAATTGCTTTGGCAATGAATACAAATTTAGTTTAAACAATTAAATGAATTAAAAGAATTAAG